CCCCCCCCCCCCCCCCCCCCCCCCCCCCCCCCCCCCCTCCCTCTTCCTCCTGTACCCTCAAAAGAAACCCGCTACATACCACTCTCCACTTCCACCTGTCACATTCAAACTCCCGCCAACCGCCACGGGGCAGCCCTACCAGCCGTTGGGAGAAAAAATTTTTCACGGATCATGTGTGACACCAGCCGAGCTGACCTGGCATGGTAGCTGTTAGGGTATTCTGTTGATGCGCGTGCTGAAGGCTCAGGGGTGAAAAACTCGGCACATAACTCACTGGGTACAGATAAGAGCTGTTGGAGGCCAGAGGCAGATCAGTGTTTTTCTTTTGCGCAGAAACCGCGGTAGAGATATTCAGAGTCACTGTAAATAAATAGGAATTGTCTTAGTCACTGTAAATAGGAATTACAGTGTGTTGCATCCCAGAACCACGCTAAAGCGAGCAATGGCGAGGCGGCACAGTCTGCAAATACTTGCGTAAGCCTCTGGTCTGAAATACCGATTCATCTTTTAGGCGTGGCATTCGTTCTCATTTCATCCATGTCTCCATTTGCACTGTCGTGCCTACGTCCGTACAATAGGCTTCTGAAATTGACTTTGCCTGTTAATGTCGAAATCTGCGGCACAGCTCAAAATCCATGGGAAGCGAAGGCGCTCGGTGTTAGTTATGTGGTAGCGTGAGTCAGGCTGACGATGGTCGGCTTTGATTTTTACAGCTGGGTATGCTACACCAGGAGCCTCTGTTGACGCAGCTATACGAACTCTAGCCAGTTTGTTCACTGGGCTCATATGAAGACACGGAATTACATGTTTGGTCCAGAAGACAAGCTAGTATGCAAAATCAAAGGTTTAGGCAGTTATTAGCAGGGAATGAATGGATATTGCTATTAGGTCATCCTGTGTATACTGTTAAGATGATGCGAGCGGCTGTTGAAAAAAGTGCAAGCAGTTCATTCAGTCTTAGGAGTAAAAACCAAGGCTGGAATGCGCCGGGCTAGCTGGTGCAAGCATGCGTTTTTCCACAACTTTTTGCGCAGGTTTCATCTTCTAGCTTTTTTTTTTTCATTTTACTGATAGGAATGCGCGTCCCGGCGTTACTGTAACCAGTCGGCAAAAATAGCTACTGTGTCATTGTGAAACGAACACTAGCAGTTCTCTTTTATACGCACTGAACAGTAGAAATGTTGCCCTGCCCATCTGCAAGGAATTTCTCCTCCAAGCAGAATTAAGACCACACATCAAAGTAGAACATCCCAATGAAATTTCAGCATCGCACATTATCTGATAAACGGAATAGCCACTTCACTACAATTATCTCTGAAATGCCTAAGTAGTGACCTAAATAAAAATCAAAGCCCAATTTAGGTATGTGATCTCTCATATGGATGATAAACATTCTGACAAAATTTCAACCACTGTTTCCCGGTTAGTTTTCGAGTTAGCACTGTGCCAAGTGCGGACTTTGACGAGACTGTACAAGTGTGCACAATGGCTGAATTTGAGATCTTTAGCTCTTACAAGCACATAGAATATCCCTGTAAAAATTCTGCTTTCTATCTTTTCTGATTCCCAAAATCGTGTCCCGACAAAGAAGTTTGCATACTTTCAAGGGGCCCATGCGCGTGATCTAGGCTTATGTGAGGGAAGATCACAAACGCGGGGAGGGAGGAGGAGGGAGGTGACACAAAGGGTGGGAATATGCCCCCAAAATTTCAGCCTTCCGACTTTCCTGGTTGCTGAGTTGAAAGCGGGTGACAAAGTCCGCTCGCTTCCAAACACACACACACATGGGCGGCCTCTCGACAATATGCGTTTTTGCTAACTGTAGCAGCGTGACAACGTTGCACAGCAAAATCGTGGTTGAACAGAAGTGTATACCTGAGATACGGTGCAAACCTGTGGCTTTGCGCTAAATTTTCTGTATGCACCATGCAGAGCTAGAAATATGTTGAGTACGCTGATCTCGTGCACGCCCAAGGACTGTATTCTCAAAATTTCAGCTTAGTCTTGTTGTTCTAGAAATGGGTTATTTGGGTAAACAGGCAGGTGATGTGCAAATAAAGCTTTTTCTAATTTGTGCAAGTCGCATAAAAATCTTGAAAGTTGAGTGAAAGGATGCAACATTTAGTTATTGAGATGTAAAAGACAGATATAAATTCAAATCCATTTCTTACGAGCGCTTACGTAACAAGTGCGAGAACGAGCATCTATGTTTCACGTTTGGTGGAAAATTTCGTAAGCGCGGAAAACAGACATCACTTTGACAATTTTTTTTGCCCACACCGAACTGTCAAGCAATGAATATTCCTAGCAGCAAAATACCCACTGGGCGGAACTGCACGAAACGAATGGTTCTAAAATTATTTTAAAGTTCGAGCACGCTTGTTTGAAAGTTCGCATTCAGAGCTAAATCTAATGTTCCCGGATGAAAACATTTGGTTTTCACTACACTGTTCCATTTTACCTTTCATTTTTAAGATCGCACATGAATAAAAAACATTCTCCAATAGTTCTAAGCTTCGGTTTGTCTATTTTCAGAACTAAGCAATTGTCACACAAATTTTCATGTGTCCATGCCTGAGGGATATGAATATATGAGAATCTGAATTCGTAGTTAAAGGATTTCACACTTAGAAAAAGAATCAGAATAAACTTTCAGGATTTTCGTCTCACCGGTTCCCGAATTGGAAAATTTTCCTCCAAAATTATCTTGTGCCCTCAAGTGAGACTTAAGTGTACGTGGCAGCCAACCGCACGCAAATTTAGTTTTTGGAATCGCACATGGACTTGAAATTTGATGCAGAATTTTAGCTCCCTAGCTTTCTCGGTTTCCAGTTATTCTCCCTTAAATTTCAACTTCTTACCTCCTCCTAAATTTTTCCATCCAAAACTTTCGCATGTCTGTACTTGAGACCTAGGTGCGTGTGGAGCCCGAATTTAAATTTGCAGAAACAAGCAAGGACAGGAAACATCCGCATAAAATTTTAGCTTCCTAGGTCTCCTGCACAAACACATACATACGTGCATGATCTTGACAATATGCGTTTTGTGCACTGCAGCACAATATACAAAAAAATTGGCGCGAAATAAACAAATGAGCAGTAATTTTATCGAAAGATAATAAAATTTGGGGCTTACAAGTTCTTTCGTCTGGAAATGCGAGCACTAGCAATTCTCGTATTAATCTAATAAATATCACCTTTAATAATCCCCATACCAATGTGGTGGATATGCTTTTTATTCAAAATAGGTAAAGCACAGAAAAGCCATGTACTGGCCTCAGCAACACCAGTTCCTCCAAGATTCTTGATGATTGGTGTAAATAGTGATCAAAGAGGCGAAAAATTGCTCCACGCAACTCAGAAGTATTTTTCTTCATTTAGCAAAGGAATATTTCCTACAAAAGGATAATCCTTGCGGCACAGCCAATCCTTTTATCCTGTAAGTCAGCCAGCGGCCAATACTGCATCAAAATGAATAAATAGTGGCGTGTACTGTCATACTAGCGCAGTTATAAGCTTTCGCGTTTAGTTACTACGACAGGTGAATGTAGCAGTACTTATGAAAGGTGGCTGTACCTAGTCTTTTTGTCTTAACTAGTGCATGTAGAGTACTAGAATTTGGTTTCATCCTTCAGCCTATACTAGTTTTATAATACCGCCCTTAAATCTAACGTGAGGTAGTAATTCAGGGCAGAGATTTGAAGTTCATTTCAAATTACTATCTGTAGTCATGCATTAAACTAAAACCCCGAAATTATGAATTTTTACCACACCTAATGATATTTTGAAATGGACAAAGATACGGACTGTGGGTCATAAGCCAAAACACAGAAGATGGTAAATGTCGACTTCAAGTGTGGGTACTTTCCTACAGCTTGTTACGTTCAGGAATTGCAAAACCAGAATGAATAGAATTGCATGTCAAGACAGAAAGAAACCTGGAAGTTTAATTTCAGAATTTACCCCGTGCGTACTGTCTTGATACGTTTTTCATTTTGACTGGTTTGTTTAATAACATATTGACACTGGTGTACCTAAAACGCCAGTCAAATGCAATCAACATGCCCTTCAAGCAACCCTTAGAAAACCAGAATCGATACTGTGTCAGACGGTTGTTCCACTTGGTAAAGCACTACCACAAAATCATTTCCGCTTGGTTCGCTGTCCCATCCAACAAAACAAAAGAAAAGATGCTTTTCTTTAAAATTTGTTGTGCCATTAATAGTGAACCATTTTACAGTGAGCCATGATTTCGGGTGAATCATTTGGAATAATTCAAATAATCCAGGCGAATTATGGCTCATTGTGGATATTATCAAGACGCCTGCGCAGAGAGCAGCCAAATTAGGCCCCTCACGCCTGCCTCCAGTTTTCAAATGGCGTGCCTACTAGCTTGGGATATTGTTCCAGTAAACGTTTCTGCCTTGTAATCAGTACTCTAATATGCACAGCCAGACAAGTATAATTCTTCTGATACTGGTAGATTTTTCCAAAACCTTGCTTCTCAGTCCCGTCCTTCAGTAGCTGTCAATAGCCCTTACCGATACTGCCCCTGAGTCTCCATCTTCAATGGCCGCGCGGTGTAAGTTCGTCCTGTTATTCAAGGAAAGAAATGTGCCCAACAGTACTTCAGCTATTCAGATGTGTAATTTCAAAAACAAAGTCTTGTAAGAACTTTGTAAAACTTACATTTCCCTGTGATATTTCCCCCTGAGACCTCGTTGCGTCTGTGCGCGAGACAAAAATGACGATGATGGCATTTAGCGCAAGCAATTATGCTAAGCTTAAGGTTTAATGTATCAAATAGCATTTTGACCGACAGACGACAATTTTTGAAAATTTAAGACAGAAACGAGCAATTTCCGGAACATCTACTCCAAATTATGAAGATTCTAGAGTTAGTGCTTTGAAAATCAAACCTCATTTGTTTCTCAGTTGAATGGCTTTTTTGGCATTCGTTACTAGTAGAGGGCCCTGCTTCCACTGACTGAACTCTGACTAAGCTAGTGGAGATGAACCGTATGGTTCGTGAGGCCAAGAAAAAAAAAAACAAAGTACCGATCACCGTATACTGTCCACTTAAAAAATGCAAAATTGTTTATAGTTCAGAGAAACTCAGTAGAAACCTATTAGTGTTGCCTATATGTTCATGTGTTTTTGCAACCTAAAATTAGCTGCATCCGAACTAGAAACACTAGTATGCGTGAAAGCCGATGTTACGGTTTTCGTGAGCCACAGAGCCAGGTAATACTCGCATAACAATATTTGCTTTCTTACCCGCCTGCTGACGCGACCTTAAATGATGAGTGGTCAGACTAATGTGTATGTCATATGTGTATGTATGGGTAGGTGTGTATGTGTGTGTGTGTGTAACCGACAACCTTAGTTCATATATAAATTTATGATTACACTACATAAGATGTTAATTATACAGGGAAACTATATAAAAATGGAAGGATATCATGAAGCTCTTGGGAACCGAAGCTCGCCAAAACGGAGTAGTCGAACTTGGCGTGAGAACGAAGTAGAAAAAACAATACTGGATCCTGGAAGTGGAGAGGAGTGCTTATGTATTTGGGTAACCACAGATTAAAGGGGATTTGCATCACTCCAAAAGAGGTATCGTGCCCAACGGCTAGAAAGGTTGTTCCATCTTAGTGATGCAATAGCTTTTTACAA